TCATCTGTTATCAGTCATCTGTCATCTGTCATCTGTCATCTGTCATCTGTCATCTGCCATTTGTCATCTGTCATCTGTCATCTGCCATCTGCTATCTGTCATCTGTCATCTATTATCTGTCATCTGTTATCTGTCATCAATCATCTGTTATCTGTTATCTGTCATCTGTCATCTGTCACCTGTCATTTGTCATCTTTCATCTGTCATCTGTCATCTGTCATCTTTCAGCTGTCATCGGTCATCTGTCATCTGTCATCTATAATCTGTTACCTGTCATCTGTCATGTGTCATCTGTTATTTGTTATCTGTCATCTGTCATCTTTCATCTATTATCTGTCATCTGTTATCGGTCATCTGTTATCTGTCATCCGTCATCTGTCATCTATCATCTGTCATCTGTCATCTGTCATCTGTTATCTGTCATCTGTCATCTGTCATCTGTCATATGTCATCTGTCATTTGTCATCTGCCATCTGTCATCTATTATCTGTCATCTGTTATTTGTCATCTGTCATTTGTTATCTGGTATCTGATATCTGGCATCTGTCATCTGTCATTTGTCATCTATTATCCGTCATCTGTTATCTGTCATCTGTCATCAGTCATCTGTTATCTGTTATCTGTCATCTGTCATCTGTCATCTGCCATCTGTCATCTGTCATCTGTCATCTGTCATCTGCCATCTGCTATCTGTCATCTGTCATCTATTATCTGTCATCTGTTATCTGTCATCAGTCATCTGTTATCTGTTATCTGTCATCTGTCATCTGTCACCTGTCATTTGTCATCTTTCATCTGTCATCTGTCATCTGTCATCTTTCAGCTGTCATCGGTCATCTGTCATCTATAATCTGTTACCTGTCATCTGTCATCTGTCATGTGTCATCTGTTATTTGTTATCTGTCATCTGTCATCTTTCATCTATTATCTGTCATCTGTTATCGGTCATCTGTTATCTGTTATCTGTTATCTGTCATCCGTCATCTGTCATCTATCATCTGTCATCTGTCATCTGTCATCTGTTATCTGTCATCTGTCATCTGTCATCTGTCATATGTCATCTGTCATTTGTCATCTGCCATCTGTCATCTATTATCTGTCATCTGTTATTTGTCATCTGTCATTTGTTATCTGGTATCTGTTATCTGGCATCTGTCATCTGTCATTTTTCATCTATTATCCGTCATCTGTTATCTGTCATCTGTCATCAGTCATCTGTTATCTGTTATCTGTCATCTGTCATCTGTCATCTGTCATCTGTCATCTGTCATCTGTCATCTGTCATCTGTCATTTGTCATCTGTCATCTGTCATTTGTCATCTTTCATCTGTCATCTGTCATCTTTCAGCTGTCATCTGCCATCTGTCATCTGTCATCTATTATCTGTCATCTGTCATCTATAATCTATTATCTCTTATCTGTCATCTGTTATCTGTTATCTGTCATCTGTCATCTGTCATCAGTTATCTGTCATCTGTCATCTGTCATCTGTCATCTGTCATCTGTCATCTATTATCTGTTATCTGTTATCTGTCATCTGTCATCAGTTATCTGTTATCTGTCATCTGTCATCTGTCATCTGTCATCTGTCATCTGTCATCTGTCATCTATTATCTGTCATCTGTTATCTGTCATCTGTCATCAGTCATCTGTTATCTGTAATCTGTCATCTGTCATCTGTCATCTGTCATCTGTCATCTATTATCTGTCATCTGTTATCTGTCATCAGTCATCTGTTATCTGTTATCTGTCATCTGTCATCTGTCACCTGTCATTTGTCATCTTTCATCTGTCATCTGTCATCTGTCATCTGTCATCTTTCAGCTGTCATCGGTCATCTGTCATCAGTCATCTGATATCTGTCATCTGCCAACTCTTATCTGTCATCTGTCATCTGTCATCTGTCAGCTGTCATCTGTCATCTGTCATCTGTCATCTGTCATCTGTCATCTGTCATCTGTCATCTGTCATCTGTCATCTGTCATCTGTCAACTGTTATCTGTCATCTGCCATCTGCCATCAGACGAACAAATTAACAATTAAGAGAAAAACTAGTTCAACTACAAATAGCTCAGCTCAAAAAAGACGAACCAATGAATCCAACTTAAACGCAATACTGCAAAACAATTATGTGATACATACGCAATATATTTTGGCAGTTATATGAAAACTTTTGCTATTTTAAATTTTCAGTATTGAGTTCATGAACAAAAAATGTTGATAGCAAAAAAATTTATTCATTTAAGGGAAAATTCTATTTCAGGAACAATAAAAATTAAGAAAAACAAAAATAAATAAAACTGAAACAAAAAGAAATATTGTTATATTTAAGTACAACTAAAAATGTAAAACCAAACTGCAATAAAGTTCTGTCAAACCAATCGTTTGTATTCCCTTCAACAAGTGAAAATTCTGCTGTTAAATACAGTCTATGTATACTTATCCACAGAAATCTTTATATAAGATTTGACAATACAAAATTTACTAATCCATTCATACGGTCTATAGAAAATTGATCATCGTACTTTTTGTTAAGAAATATGTATATTTTATACTAGGTATTTTCGAATAAATTAGCAATGTTCATATGATTTGGGATGTTTGTAAAATAATAAAACGATTAAATACAAAACATATGCAGAAATTATTTTATTTCATTTAAATGTTAATAAAATTAAATTTCTTCTTCTTACAAACTAGTTACTTAATATAGGTAACAAATTACAGTATAATAAATCACAGGTAACAAAATATTTTTCAGTTAAAACCAAAATGATAAATACAATATAAAAAAATTGTTTTTGAAAAAACGGCATGACATATTTACATAAAAAAATAAAATTTTTAATCAATATTTCTTAAAACTAGTAATATTTGATGAGAAAATCAATTCATTTTATGACATAAATGTACCTATGTATTCAACTAAATTCACAAAATTTTTTAAATTTCTTTTATAAGAGATTAAATTACATACTTATTTAAATAGTTAAAATCTTAACATTAGTAGGTACTTGATTAAATTATATTTGCCACAGGCAACAAAATAAAATTTAAAGTTCTTACAAATTCAAAACATTCGGTTGTGTAGAACTCCTTTTTAGCACTTTTTCAAAAAATTTTTGAAAAAAAGTGCTTATTAGTTTCACTCTGTCCGTCCGTCCGTCCGTCCGTCTGTCCGTGTGTCTGTTTACAAAACTTCTACACCCTTGTAGATAGAAAGCTGAAATTTTGTACGTATATAGACCTTTAATAGAAACTTATTTCCGTAGAACAAAATTTTTACCTATCTCCCCCCCCCCCCCCCCCTCTAGAAGTTATACTCCCACAAAACCCTTAAAATGGCCTTTTTTAACTATTTGTTGCAATGAAACCATAAGCTTTTTTGAAATTTTGCAAACGCATAAAGGCAGCGGCTTGCTTCCCCTAGCGCAGTATACTATAGTTAAACTTTAGAAAGACAAAATGGCCGTTCAAATTTACCTTTATCTAAACTCATTTTTTTCCAAATTTTTGATTTCATTTTTCTTCTAGACCCCAGCCTGTAGAAGCTTGAAATTTTAGGTACTTATAGACATTAATAAATAGTTCATTTCGTTAGGAGAAAATTTTTTTCCATCTCCACCCTCTCTCAAGTTATTGCCTCTTGAAATTTGTAAAAATTTGAATTTTTGGCGCCTTATATTTCCGAAACCGCAAACGTTTTCAAATTTCTATAAACATAAAAAGCCAGCGGTAAATTCCATGACATTAAAAAATATAACTATTTTTCTTAACTCACACAATTAACCCTTAAAATCGAGCATTATGTTAATCCCTCTTTATATTAATTTTTCCTTTATTTGCGGTTTCGGAAATATAAGGTGTCAAAAATTCAAACTTCACAAATTTCAAGAGGCGATACCTTGAGAGGGGTGAAGATGAAAAAAAACTTTTCTTTTAACGAAATGAACTATTTGTTATTGTCTAAAAGCCCTTATTTCAAGCTTCTACAGGCTGGGGTCTAGAAGAAAAACGAAATCAAAAATTTGGAAAAAAAAGACTTTAGATAAAGGTAAATTTGAACGGCCATTTTGTTTTTCGAAAGTTTAACTATAGTATACCGCGCTAGGAGAAGCAAGCCACTGCCTTTCTGCGTTTGCAAAATTTGAAAATCGCTTATCGTTTCATTGCAAGAAATAGTTAAAGGCCATTTTTAGGGTTTTTGGGGGTTATAACTTCTAGAAGGGGGGGGGGGGGGGGGGCGGGCATAGGTAAAAATTTTGCTTTACGGAAACAAGTTTCTAGTAAAGATCTATGGACGTATTATTCTAATTTCAGCTTTCTATCTTCAAGGGTGTAGAAGTTTTATAAACATGTCCACGGACGGACAGAGTGAAACTAATAAAAACTTTTTTTCAAAAAATTTTTGGGAAAGTGCTAAAAACTAGCAAAAAAAAGTACAACTGATTTAACTGCGCTAGCCATGATAATTTAAATATTTTTGTGAGAAATTACCAATGTTTTTGAGCAAACTTAATTAGCAACATTTGTTTATGAACACAAATATAGCGCAGTTCTCGCTAAGACCTTAAAAACCTAGTGGTCAGATCTGCATGAAAGGTGTATGAAAAAGTGCGGATCTTTAAAAGACCTCAATGTCGACAGAGAACCATCATACAAAATATGATGAATTATTGTCTAATCTAACACCTACAAAAGTTGTACAAGCGTTATTGCGGGACTGATTTAAAAAATTGGCCCTCGAGTCTGGAAGACTGGACGCAAAAGATATCAATAAAAATATTGTAAGAACTTTAACATAATAAACATAAAACATAAATGTGCACATATAAATATAAATGTATTTCTTAGATATTTTTTAGTCATTTGAAAAAAGTAGTCGGACACATGGTGTACCTTAACAAAACCGTTCATTAATATCTCCTTTGGCTAAAAACTTGTAAGGCTTATCAACAATTCATGTTTTTCAACAAAAGAAAAAGAAATTTTAAAACATACATCATTTAAGAGGTTCTTATTATGGTGATATGTCCAAATAGTTTCAAATTTACACCAGCAAAAGTTACACATATTTAACTTAATATACAAATAATTCTTTTGTACATTTTTTCGGATTAACATTTTTGAAACTTGGGATATTTATTACTTTCTCTTGATTTCTTTCGCAAATCTACTTTGCACTTTTTACACGTAATAAAATGAAATATGTATGTAATATGGAAGTTAATCTGTTTTCAAATTGAAAACCAACTCGGAGTTCCAGGACGACTTTTGTTTCTATCCAAAAAATTTTTAAAGCCTTTTTTAGAATCCTCGATAGCTCTGTCTTCGCTTTCTTTCTTTTCTTTGTTTTTCTCAGGAAATAAGTTTGGAAAGCCGAACTTTTGATCTTTGGGCTACATCAAATAAATAAATATGTACATACATATATGTGGGTATGTATTATTAAAATTAAACTTACTAAGGTAACATAAGCATATTTCGTATCGTCATCTTTAGTTATATAATTTTTAATCCTGTCACGTTTTATTTCGCCAAGCGCTACTCTTGTTCGCACATCTACAACCGATAAGCTGTAAATTTTTGCCAAATAATTCTTGATATCATACTTCGTCATTTCCATTGAACAAATAAAGGTAATTACGTTTTCTACAATAAATCAAAATATTAAATTTAAATTTAAATATTAAATGTATGTTAAATTTGCAATACTGGGTTGTGGTTCAGGTGTTCGGACAAGCTTCAACCAAAAGTTTGGCAAAAATACTCGTAGCTGTGGCCCATTCCTTTGAAAAATTGGATACCAACGTGTTGACATTTTATTTTTTGGCACTTACTAATAATTTTGCCAAAACTAAACCTGCTAAACTTTACGAATTTTGTTTATTTTTTACTGTCGAGAGAAAAAAAAAATGTTAATTTTGCTTGAATTAAAAGCAGTTATATGAAAAAGGCTTTCGCTTTTTATACCATAAGAAATTTTAACCAAGTTTCTCAAATATCGAATTATGTATTAGTTTTTGATATGGTTGGAACGACAATATGGAAATATCAACATATATCAATGCATTTTTAACGGTATTTACACGATATCTGAAGTTCTGATATATCGGCGTATCAATATTTTTCTTTGACATCTACCGATTTTTTTCAACACTAGTTTTCTGCTACTATCACCCTTAATGTGAATTTCACTCGTAGAATTCCACGAATTTCAAACTAAGTTACGCTCGGAGACTTTTGACTTTGGAAATTTCAAGTGGTTATGAATCTGCAATGGTAGCATTACTTTTCGGAAGGTCAAAATCGATATTTTGTTACAACTGTGAAGTGACAACATTTAAATTTTTCAAAATTCATAGTAACTATTTAAAAAAATAATAGATATTTCAAAAAACAATGAATAATAAAAAAAAAATTTAATTAAAATGAACTGGTTTTCCTTCAAGAAAATTATAATGTAATATAAATAAAATAACTTTTGCTCAATACTTGCATTTTTCTCTTTTACATACATACTTTAACAAATAAACAAAAGCCTAAACTATTAAGCGAATACTCATAAATAATGGCTTCCTGCGTTTGAAAATTTTATTAGTAGAATTTTAACATTTAATTTCATCACGAGTGTGATCCATAGTTAGTCTATTACGAATTTCGGTATACATTTCTACTACTTCGGAATTGACAATATAAAATTCGAAATTTTCCCGAAATTTAGTGCTGCGAGTGAGATTAAGAGTAAGGGTGAGTATCTTTTCCATACTTTGTTTTCTTAACTAACTTTTTTTTCTTAAGTATGTACCTGCTGATTGCTCAAGAACTGACATTTGCGAAATCTGGCGAAGGCTTGTGGAAAAATTTAAGCAAAAAAATAAATTTGTCGCAGATATTGTAAATGTCAGTATAAACTAATATAAGTATAGTACTAATATCTTTGTATCTAACAAGTCCCTGGCATCGTTCATTTCGTTCACTTCTTTTTCGTTTAGTAATGGACAATATCGTTCATTTCAGTGATTCGTTCTGAACGAACTATTTTATTTCACTGACCGATTATAAAATCTCGTGCAATCGTTCATTTCGTTCTCTTCTCTTTCGTGAATATATATTTATATGGTTTTTGGTTATAATTAATTTATATGGTTATGTGTTTTTATGGTAAATTTTAAAGAAATGAATTTGCAATTCGGTTGTGATTTAATCAAACCTTATTTCAAAAAAATTGGGAACAAATATTTTTATTTTTCGCATTGCTAAATGATTTCTTTTCTACTTACGACTTCTCTTCAGTATTTTACTTTACTGATATTGAGTCTATGAAGGGTAAGTTTTACGAAATCATTTTTGCTGCATTTGAATTGTTTATTCCAGTGTTGAAAACTAAAGATAATATCTCTGGCCCTCCATGGTTTTCACAAGAGTTGAGGGTACTTCGCAACAAAAAGATTAAGCTGTTGCGTAAATATCTCTCCACTAAAGGCGACAGGGACTATGATAATTTCCGATTGTCGTATGATCAATTTAAATTAGCAGCAAAAGAACGTTACGACTACTACATCTATAAAACTTCGGATAACTTAATACGCAATCCCAAAGTCTTTTGGAAGTTCATAAACCATAAGTGATAGTTATCCAACCTTCTTGAAATTTGACGGGAATCCAAGTAATAATTCCCAAATTATTTCTGAATTTTTTCGTAACTTTTTCGTCGAATCTTACTCTTTTTCATCTTTTCAATTAAATGTCGACAACTTTCGGCACATTAAGAACTATCCTAAAATTACCTTTACAATTTTGTCACGAACTCTTTTGCGGTTGAAAAATATCTTTCTAATTTGGGTTTTAGTCCTTCTCCTGGACCAGATGGAGTTCCTGAGATTATTTTAAGCAGGTGCTGCTCTTCTCTGGCGCCCATCTTAACCTTAATTTTTAATAAGTTTTATTCTTCGAGTATTTTCCTGTCCGTGTGGAAGGAAGCTTTCATTAGGCTAATCCATAAGAAAAACAATAAAAAGGACGTGTCAAACTATCGTCCTATAGCCAAACTGTCGGCAATTCCTAAGGTTTTTGAGTTGATGGTATATGACAATATTTATTTTCATTGCCATTGAGTCTGTATGATTGAGTCTATTCAAAAAAATTTTTTGAGGTTCGCACTGCGCCTCCTTCCTTGGGAGGATCTCATCATTCTTCCACTTTACGAACACAGACTCAAATTAATTGACCTACCCACACTGGGTAAAAGACGTGACGTCGCGGATTTGCTATTAATTTTTCAGCTTATGAAAACTGACTTAATCTCCCCCGACATTTTAAATAAAATTGTGTTTAATTCCAACCTTAGGTCTCGTTCACCGGATCTTTTCATGGTTCCTTTTCATAGGACTAATTATGGGAAACATGAACCTGTCAGCAGAATGCTGCGTTTATGCAACAAACACAAACACAGACTTGACTTTTCACTGAAGAAAGACACGATGAAAAAGCTTCTATTTACTTATAGTTAAGTATAACCCTTTGCTTTATTTTAACAAATTCTTGTTTTAGCTTTTCATTGTCTATATTCATATTTAATGGAATATTGTTACTTATAAGTTTTATTTTGTATAATTTTTTAAATTTAATTTTTAAGTCAAAAATTGGTTCTGTCTAAAAAAAAATATGTATCTGTATACTCATTCTTTAATTTTAAGTTATGTAAAATGTTTGAGCTAAACATAAATAAATAAAACACCAGATTTAACAATTATTCTTTCATTAATTATATTTTCAACTTGACACCACAGTTACTTCGCATTCATCTTGGGTTAACTTACCCTATGAGAAAAAACTTTTTCAGTAGTGTTGGAGGACTGTCGATATATTGCCCCACTGATATTTTTGATATATCTTCGCAATCGTGTAGTGTAATGTATCGTCGGTCTGCATTTATGCACAACCATCTTTATATAAGACTGGACAATACACAACTTACTAATTCATTCATACGGTCTATTGAAAATTGATCATCGTACTTTTTGTTAAGAAATATATTTTATACTAGGTATTTTCGAATAAATTAAAAATGCTCATATGGTGATTTGGGATGTTTGTAAAATAAAAAACGATTAAATACAAAAAATATGCAGAAATTATTTTATTTCATTTAAATATTAACAAAATTAAATTTCTTCTTCTTCTTAAATAATAAATTACAGGTAACAAAATATTTTTCAGTTAAAACCAAAATGATAAATACAATATAAAAAAATTGTTTTTGAAAAAACTGCATGACATATTTACATAAAAAAATAAAATTTTTAATCAATATTTCTTAAAACTAGTAATATTTGATGAGAAAATCAATTCATTTTATGACATAAATGTACCTACATATATGTATTCAACTAAATTCACCAAATTTTTTAAATTTCTTTTATAAGAGATTAAATTACATACTTATTTAAATTGTTAAAATCTTAACATTAGTAGGTACTTAATTAAATTATATTTGCCACAGGCAACAAAATAAAATTTAAAGTTCTTACAAATTCAAAACATTCGGTTGTGTAGAACTCCTTTTTCCTAATGCTTCTATCCATTTGTGCCTGACGACTTCGTTCTTTGGAAAAGTTAATGTAGGTATGGCATTTACCTTCTCCTTTTCTCGCAGACTGTTGCTTCTGTATCCTTCAACGCAACACTTTCGGGGCATTTCTATTTATATGAACGTAATCAAATATACTATTATATTTTATTTAAATATGATTACAAATAAAACTTTAAAAAGTACACCAAATCTTACTAATTTATTAAGTGATTTTTCTTTTTAAATAAATTTTAGTACTATTTTTTCAAAATCCACCTTTGTTTTATACAATATATGACAAACAAACGAAAAAATGTATTTATATATATTATAAATCTTCATTTTATTAAATAAGCTCGAAAATTTAATATAATTATTCACTAAATTGAAATTAAAATTAAATTTTAAACAGCAAATAAATTATTTTACCGTACAGCGACGCAACCTTCCCTGACGAAATTTATATATGGACTGAAGAATACCATAGTCTCATTTTTTATACAATAATCAATAAACACAAATACAAAAATGTTAACATGTGTTGCACATTATAGGAGTCTATGACCTATCACACTATTAAAATTATTTTCATTCATATACAAAATAATTTCTAGAATTGTATTGAATCAGGATCTAGGATGAACGATTTATGCAGTAAAAGATTGCGGTTTCGGAAATATAAGGTATCAAAAATTCAAATTCTAGAAGGGTCTAGAAGAAAAACGAAATCAAAAATTTCGAAAAAAAAGGACTTTAGGTAACGGCAAATTTGAGCGGCCATTTTGTTTTTCTAAAGTTTAACTATAACATACCGCGCTAGGAGAAGCAAGCCACTGCCTTTCTGCGTTTGCAAAATTTGAAAATCGCTTATCGTTTCATTGCAAGAAATAGTTAAAAGGCCATTTTTAGGGTTTGGGGGGGTATAACTTCTAGAAGGGGAGGGGGGCATAGGTAAAAATTTCGTTTTACGGAAATAAGTTTCTAGTAAAGATCTATGTACGTATTATTCTAATTTCAGCTTTCTATCTTCAAGGGTGTAGAAGTTTTATAAACATGTCCACGGACGGACAGAGTGAAACTAACAAACACTTTTCAAAAAATTTTTGGGAAAGTGCTAAAAGCTAGTAAAAAAAAAGTACAACTGATTTAACTGCGCTAGCCATGATAATTTAAATATTTTTGTGAGAGATTAACAATGTTTATGAACAAATTTGATTATCAACATTATGTAATCAGATTTTCGCTACCTCATTTAGTTTCGTAGATACTCCGATGTCATTTTGATCCACCTCCACTTAAAATTTAATTTGGGATGCATTTTGATCCAAATCCAAAATCGTTGGCGTAGGGATCAAATTTTCATGTAAATTTTTCAAAAAATTTTTGAGTGCTATAATGACCCATGTCATACAAAAAAATTTGTATTTCTTAGATATTTTTTATTCATTTGAAAAAGAGTCGGACACATTGTGTAGCTTAGCAAAACCGTTCATTAATATCTCCTTTGGCTATTTATTTGATTTTTCCGTTTAAGTACTTTTTGAAACTATTTCAGAATTTGGAACTGGATATCTAATTTAAAAAAAAAACTTGTAAAGCTTATCAACAATTCATGTTTTTCAACAAAAGAAAAAGAAATTTTAAAACATACATCATTTAAAAGGTTCTTATTATGGTGATATTTCCAAATAGTTTCAAATTTACACCAGCAAAAGTTTCACATATTTAACTTAATATACAAATAATTCTTTTGTACATTTTTTCGGATTAACATTTTTGAAACTTGGGATATTTACTACTTTCTCTTGATTTCTTTCGCAAATCTACCTTACACTTTTCACACGTAATAAAATGAAATATGTAATATGGAAGTTAATCTGTTTTCAAATTGAAAACCAACTCGGAGTTCCAGGACGACTTTTATTTCTATCCAAAAAATTTTTAAAGCCTTTTTTAGAATCCTCGATAGCTCTGTCTTCGCTTTCTTTCTTTTCTTTGTTTTTCTCAGGAAATAAGTTTGGAAAGCCGAACTTTTGATCTTTGGGCTACATCAAATAAATAAATATGTACATATGTATATGTGGGTATGTATTATTAAAATTAAACTTACTAAGGTAACATAAGCATATTTCGTATCGTCATCTTTAGTTATATAATTTTTAATCCTGTCACGTTTTATTTCGCCAAGCGCTACTCTTGTTCGCACATCTACAACCGATAAGCTGTAAATTTTTACCAAATAATTCTTGATATCATACTTCGTCATTTCCATTGAACAAATAAAGATAATTACGTTTTCTACAATAAATCAAAATATTAAATGTATTTAAATTTAAATATTAAATGTATGTTAAATTTGCAATACTGGGTTGTGGTTCAGGTGTTCGGACAAGCTTCAACCAAAAGTTTGGCAAAAATGTTCGTAGCTGTGGCCCATTCTTTTGAAAAATTGGATACTAACGTGTTGACATTTTATTTTTAGGCACTTACTAATAATTATGCCAAAACTAAACCTGCTAAACTTTACGAATTCTGTTTATTTTTTACTGTCGAGAGAAAAAAAACTGTTAATTTTGCTTGAATTGAAAGCAGTTATAAGCAACGTATATCTACTAACAAGTAGTTGGACTCTCCGTTTACATCACACTAATGCAATCACTCACCAATATTTGTATACAAAAAATTCCCTTAGTTAAAAGAGTTAAGCAGTATACTTTCTTATTTTCATTTTTATACACATAAGAATTTTTGGGAGAGGGAAAGAGTACGCAATAGATGTCAACCTGTTTTTTTATAATGTACTTTATATATTTAATAATGACACTTTATTATTTGTTCCTATATAAAGTATAGGAAAAAATATTAAGAATTTTAAAAGCGACACAATAATTTCTGTAATTCATTCCAGTACAAGGTGGCAAAAAATGTGTATTATATTATAAAAGCGAAGAAGAAAAAAAGTGTTTAAAAAAATTATTATAATTTATATAATACAATTTTTACAAATAATAAAAATAAATTTTGAAAAGACGTACAATAGTAAAAAAAAATTTAAATAGTTGTGAAAAAAATATTTTTTTTTATAAAAATGGGTAAACATTATTTGAAGTGTTTGGGATGAAAAAAAGCCGACACGAAAATTTCATTTGTTGCCAAAAGATGTGAAGAGGTAAATATGTACTTTTGAAAATATTTTAAATATTTAGTGTTAGGCATTTGTAATTAATAAATAAAATAAATAAATTATCTTTAAATTTTTTATTTTTGTTTCAATCTTAATAAATTTAGAACATTTGCCGTGAATAATATATTTCGTAAAGTAATCAGTACCTTTTTTTCTTTATAAATTACTTTATTTCTATGTCACTACCTGATACTGTGTATCTACTGTACCAGGTACATGCATGTGTACATTCTTACATGAAATTTCAAACTCTTTTTCTTTCATACATTCGAATTTTTTACCTAAGTTTTATAAAATGAAAAATAAATTTTGTTATTATCAAAATAAAAATAACAAAATTTTTACCTAACTTAATTTAATTTTATTTTAATTCAATGTTTTTGATACACTCATTTGTTTACAATATTTTGTTTCTTTCTTGCCTACGCAACTCTTATTACCATCTATTTCTACAAAAAAATGGAATATTTTAAGAATTTGGAAGCAAGATGCAAACGAAAACTAACGGAATGGAACGAGTCGAATTACTTATTAGTGGATATACTTTGGTTATAAGAAAAAGGCTCTCGCTTTTTATATCATAAGAAATTTTAACCAAGTTTCTCAAATATCAAATTATGTATTAGTTTATGACATGATTGGAACGACAATATGGAAATATCATCATATATCAATGCATTTTTAACGGTATTTACACGATATCTGAAGTTCTGATATATCGGCGTATCAATATTTTTTTTTGAAATCTACCAATTTTTTTCAACACTAGTTTTCTGCTACTATCACCCTTAATGTGAATTTCACTCGTATTTCACGAATTTCAAACTAAGTTACGCACGTAGACTTTTGACTTCGGAAATCTCAAGTGGTTATGAATCTGCAATGGTAGCATTATTTTTCGGAAAGTCAAAATCGATATTTTGTTACAACTGTGAAGTGACAACATTTAAATTTTTCAAAATTCATAGTAGATATTTAAAAAATAATAGACATTTAAAAAAACAATGAATAATAAAAAAAAAAGTTTAATTAAAACGAACTGGTTTTCCTTCAAGAAAATTATAATGTAATATAAATAAAATAAATTTTGCTCAATACTTGCATTTTCCTCTTTTACATACTTTAACAAATAAACAAAAGCCTAAAAAATTAAGCGAATATTCATAAATAATGGCTTTCTGCGTTTGAAAATTTCATTAGTAGAATTTTAACGTTTAGTTTCATCACGAGTGTGATTTAGAGTTACACTATTACGCATTCCAGAATACATTTTTACTACTTCGGAATTCAGATTATAAAATTCGAAATATTCCCGAAATCCAGTGCTACGAGTGAGGTTAAGAGTAAGGGTGGGTATCTTTTCTATACTTTGTTTTCTTAACTAACTTTTTTCTCTTAAGTGTGTACCTGCTGAACTGACATTTACGAAATCTGGCGAAGGCTTTAAGAATTTAAGCAAAAAAATAAATTTTTCTCAGATATTGTAAATGTCAGTATTATAATATTAATAACTTTATATCTAACAAGTCCCTGGCATCGTTCATTTTGTTCACTTCTTTTTCGTTTAGTGATGGACGATATCGTTCATTTCAGTGATTCGTTCTGAACGAACTATTTTATTTCACTGACCGATTATAAAATCTCGTGCAATCGTTCATTTCGTTCACTTCTCTTTCGTGAATATATATTTATATGGTTTTTGGTTATAATTAATTTATATGGTTATGTGTTTTTATGGTAAATTTTAAAGAAATGAATTTGTATTCGGTTGTGATTTAATCAAACCTTATTTCAAAAAAATTGGGAACAAATATTTTTTATCATAAAGTTACTAAAAGTATGCTATTAAGATAATACGATTGTCAAATTAATATGATCAAATTTTTTTGTATGTACATATTTCAAAATAGTAAGAGATTTGGAGAATAAAAATAATTTGTTATAATTCTTGTTACAAAAAGAGTTATAATTATTTTTACTTTTAATTCTAGCAAAAAACTAAAAAAATCCTATTCTAATTTTTTTTTTAAATTTTTACTTAATTTACTTAAACAACTTATTGTAATCCTTTAAGGGTTAAAACGTAAACTTATTACGATTATTTTTTCATTAGTTTTTTCACTTATTTAAAATACTTAGGTAAAAAGAACGATCATAATTATTGTCCTTTATTAAATATTTTATGTATAAATATCAACATTTTATGTCAGTTCAATCCTTCCTTTTTAGCACTTTTCCAAAAAATTTTTGAAAAAAAGTGCTTATCAGTTTCACTCTGTCCGTCCGTCTGTTTACAAAACTTCTACACCCTGAAAATAGAAAGCTAAAATTTTGTATGTACATAGATCTTTACTAGAAACTTATTTCAGTAGAACAAAATTTTTACCTATCTCCCCCCCTCTAGAAGTTTTTTACCCCCAAAACCCTAAAAATGGCCCTTTTTAACTATTTATTGCAACGAAACCATAAGCATTTTTGAAATTTTAAAAACGCAGAAAGGCAGCGGCTTGCTTCCCCTAGCGCGGTATACTATAGTTAAACTTTAGAAAAACCAAACGGCCGTTCAAATTTACCGTTATCTAAAGTATTTTTTTTCCAAATTTGTTATTTCGTTTTTCTTCTAGACCCCAGCGTATAGAAGCTTGAAATTTTAGGAGCTTTTAGGCATTAACAAATAGTTCATTTTGTTAGAAGAAAATTTTTTCCATCTCCACCCCCTCTCAAGTTATCGCCTTTTGAAATTTGAATTTTTGACACCTTATTTTACAAATTTCTATAAACACAAAAAGCTAACGGTAAATTCCATGATATAAAAAAATATACATAATTATTTTTCTTAACTCACACAATATAACTTTAAAATCGAGCATTATGTTAACCCCACTTTGTATTAATTTTTGCTTTATTTCAAAGACTGCATAAATCGTTCATCCTAAATATATGCATTCCTAGAAATGGTTTTATATATGAATGAAAATAATTTTAATAGTGGGATAGGTATATATTATATAGACTGTATTTAAAAGCAATATTTTCACTTCTTGAAGGGAAAAGTGCTACTATACCAACCATTGGTTTGACCCAACTTTATTTTTAATTCATTTAGGTAGTATTAATTTGAATCAGTTCAATCTTTTAATACTTATTATACTTTTGCATGAATTTTCAAATTACCTACTCAGTTACATATGTATATTAAAACAAAAAACAAAAAAATCTATACTTGATATGCACACTTTATTATGAACTCATGTCTTTACAAAATATATTACACTTTCTGTATTATTCTAATAATTTTGAATAAATTATCAACACTTATTTACACTTTGTATTTTACTTGTATTATAGCGATGTTAACAGAGATCGAAAACCTAAATAATTACTGTAGGGTGAAACATTTCACCAGCGTAACCAATCATAACATGATATGTTCGAAAAGCAATTTGAATATTTTGTACTTAAACATACAGAGTCTACGTAACAAATTAGATTATTTAGAAATTTTGAAAAATTCGTATAGTTTTGATGTTCATATACTTCAGAAATATGGTTAAGAGAGGGTGAAAATATTTTTTACAATTTGCCGGGTTTTACACCCTATTTCTCAAATCGTGAAAATGCGTGTGGGGGCACCGCTATTTACGTTGACAGTAAAATTGATAGTTCAGAAATTTTAAACGAGTCTTTTGGTCTGACTAACATCTTAGGGGTTAAATTAACAAAATTAGGTTCCAATATTATATCAGTATATAGATCGCCTAATACAAATGTAGTTGATTTTATAAGCAAATTGGATGAAATTACTGTCACATATAAGAACTCCTATATATTTGGATATTTCAACATCAATCTGCGTAATTTTGGTGATCGTTCTGTCAAAAGTTATACTGATACACTATTAAGTAATGGGTTTCTCATTTACAAAAAATATCCGCTGAATATATGACACGGTGTAGTACTAGGACAATTATTGATCATTTCATTATGGATATAGTAAAGAACAAATATCTTTTTCATGTCCTTGACAATACGTTGTCGAGCCACCAATCAATTCTTGTTAGCATAGATTGTGAGCCATCTAAAGAAACCACAGACTCTTTCAAAACTATACGTGATTATGATAACATAAATAAAGACATTTTTTGGTCCAAACTTAGTGAATATTCCAGCTTTGGTACTTTAATAAACGATTTGAGTTGTTTGGTCAAACGAAATACACAGACAATTTCTTTTGAGTGTAAAAACAAAAAAAATAATGCTTGGATGAATAATGAAATAAAGTCTGAAATTAAAATACGTGATTCATTTTACAAATATAAAACGAAATATCCAATTGATTCCCATGTCGAGAAATTATATCGTTATCATAAAAAAAAGGTGCAAAAATTAATGCGTCAACCCAAAACGCAGTATTGTTCGGATGTAATTTCTGAAAATCCTAATGATAGTAAAAAACTGTGGGGTTTATATAAATATATCATGTTAAATAAAGAAGAATCGGATTCCCCCAGATCAATCAAAATTCTTGAATATAATAATCAAATAGTAAACAACGTCCTTCGTTAGTGTCACCAATAATTTTAATACATATGTATATCTTCAAATCCTATTAACTACACGTATTTAAACAATTTTACTAGGAATATTCATTCAAATTTCACTTTTACACCTACAAATGCTGAGGAAATTACTACTGTAATAAAGAAATACCTCAGCTGCGACGGGATTTGATTGCATTTCAACAAAATTTATTAAACATTTCTCTGATCGTTTAGCACCTTTATATGCTAAATTTATAAATGTTTCTTTTCGAACTCATATATTTCCGGAATGCTTGGACACAGCAATAGTCACACCTATTTTCAAGGGTGGTAATAAAACCAACCCAACTAATTATCGCCCAGTATCTGTTCTAAGCTCATCTTCCAAAATATTTGAAACAATAATAAAAGATAGAATCACGACTTTTTTGTCAAACAATATGATTTTGGATCCGGAACAATATGGGTTCGAAAAGAAATCAAATACAGTGGCTTCATGTCTTAGTTTAACTGATTTTATAACAAAGAATATGAATGAAAGCAAATATGTTGCATGTCTATTTCTTGACTTGCAAAAGGCTTTCGACTGCGTCGATCATGGCATTCTATTACATAAACTATCCCTATTGAATTTTAATACCAATCAAATTCATTTTTTTAAAACATATCTGGACAATCTTCCACAAAAAGTAAAGATAGGTAACGTAACAGGCAACCCGAGGGTGGCCAAGAATGGAGTCGCCCAGGGATCTGTTCTTGGGCCGGACCTGTTTAAAATTTATATCGATCACATGGCTCGACTTCGATTGGCTGGCTCAATGCAATTATATGCTGATGATGCGGTAATCAAGTATGCGAAGGATACAGAACTTGAGTTAAATAATGCTATTGAGGGTGATGTAAAATTGATTGATGAATGGTTAAAATACCATCGCTTATTATTAAATTTCAAGAAGACTAAATTGTTAGTTTTTGGAAACAAGAGCTCGCAGTTTAATGATTTTTCATATAAAAATAAGATTATTGAAAAAGTTGAAACTTTTAACTATCTGGGTTTAGTCCTGGATAGTAGGCTCAATTGGTCGTACCATATAGATAGCATTATCAAGAAGATTTCTTCTTACATACATATTTATTTTATATAGGCTTAGAAAATATTTTACTGAGCATCCTATATTTTGTCAAATATAATATATTTAAATTCAATTTGGAGCAGAGCTCCTCAATATATCCTTAATAAATTAAGTATTACACAAAAGAAAGTGATCAAAATTATTTGGAATTTACCTGTTAGCACGTCGACTAGCGTAATTTACACGGAAAGATATTTGAGTTTGGAAAATTTAAGCAAGAGAGAATTACATATATATAACAGCTTTCAAGATAATAAATAATGAGTTAAAACACAATTTTATATTAAATAAAGCAATTGATTTTCATAATCACAATACTCGCAACAAATCTAATTTTTATCTTTCATTATTTAAAACTAAGAAGCAACAAAATAACAATCCAATATATAATGCCTTTAAACTGTACAACGAATTACCAAATGAGTTGAAAATTATAAACAATATTTGTTTGTTTAAAAAAAGGATTAAAGAAGTTGTTTTAAACATTAACCGATGATGACAATCAAGTCTATATAATATGTACATACATATGTAGATGAAGAAGAAAAATTTAAAAAACATTTAATCAATTATTTTTTTTTATTAGTTTATTACTTTTTTTTGTTTTAAAATGTAAATTTTTTTCAAAAAGGAAACCAAAATTACTTTTTTAAGATCTTCTGACAATAACTTAAGAATAAAAAAAAATAAATTTAATAAAACAATAATTAGACCAGATAGCCTAGGTAGGCGAAGGTCTTTATTATCTTAATTTTTTTTATACATTAGGCGTGAATGCCATAAAATATATTTTTTGTTTTTTATAAAATTCTTTAATATTATTTTGTTTTTTTTTTATATAAATATTTTGTATTCTTATTATTGCAATGATTGAATTACTTAATTGAAATATTATTTTTAATATTAAATTTGTAAGAATTTTGTAAAAACTGTTAAGCAATAAAGAAAAAAAAAATATTTTAAGGTTTTTTATTTACAAACTGCACTAATTTTATAAATAAAACAAGTAAAAACGTTTCAGTCGGTATAAACCGATTGAATTATTGTATAGCAATATTGTAAATTTTCGTTGTTGTATAGCAATTACTTGAATCTGTGACACCATTCTATAGAAACTACATGAATCTGACTTTATTATTTTTCCAAATATAAGCTTTTGGATTTTTGTGGGAGCTACTCCAACCTGTCAAGCATTTCAACCAAAACTTCTGAAATATATCTGACCTATGAATTGGACACACAACTGCCAAGTTTCATAAATCTGACTTTATTATTTTTCCAAATATTTAAAATTTGTATGGCAGTAATTCAAATATTTAAAGTTTGTAGTAAAGTTGTATGGCAGGTACCCGAACCTATCAAGCAATTCCACTAAAACTTCAGAAATATTTCTGACCTATAATTGGACACATGACTGCTAAGTATCATGAATCTGACTATTATTTTTTCGAATATAAAAAAATTGCTTTTGGAGTTGTTTGGCAGCCACCCGAACCGGTGCAGCCTATCAAAATTTTTAAAGCATGTGTAGAATGTAATTGGACACATACATATATACAAAATTTTATATTTAGACGTTTATTAGTTTTTAAAATATTTAAAATAAACTCTTTGAGCTGTATGGCAGCTAGTCGAACCCGTTGTTCGAATTAGTCCATTTACTATAAGGTGCGTTCTTGGCACAAAAGAAACAACTTGTGAAAGTTTGGTGTTGATTGCATTATTCGATTTTGAGTTATCGTGTGATCGCACGGACGAACGGATGGACATGTCTAAATCAACGCAGAATTTTGTGCTGAGCAAGAATATATATATATATCGGTCCATACCGCAGATGACCCCTTTAAGTAGCTACAAACTCCATATCAAAGTTAATATACTCTCCACGAGGTGTAGGGTATAAAAACAAAATCTTATTTGTTTACTTTTTATACAGCGGCGCGTCTTTATAAGTTGCTAATAATAATATGTATTTGACTTTTAATATTAATTTTAGTTTGACAATGCTCGGAGCAAAGAGGGGTCTTACCTGAAGTTTTTGGCTTCACGATGTTTTTTTTTCAAGATGCGATTTTTTAGGGAGCTTAAGCGAGAAAGATAGATGCACCTTCCTTTAGCATTTCTAATTCGTTGGTTGGCGTAGAATATACGCAAACTGAAATTCCAAGTCAAATATTTTGCCTGCCGAAATTGGATGAAATTGATTTTAAAATATATCGAATCAAATCAAGCAAAATCGATATTTTGCTAACTTTATAATGTGTATTATGTTAATACATACTATTTATTCGGTTTAACATTGATACATGTATTTTAGCCAACCTTAGCTGGTATTTTTCTGTTAGTGTTTATTAGCTTCGCGTCGGATTGTGTAATAAAAAAGTTAGAAGACAAAAAAATTTTTTTTTGTAAAATTGTTGTTGAAAAGGGTTATTTTTTGAGTTGAATGTCTAACTTCCATTAAACTGCGAAAAATATTTAATACGGAAATAATTCTAAAAATCTCAAAGGAAAATCAATGTTGAAAAATCAATAAAGTGTTTTTTTTTATTTATGTGTTTTTGACTTTTGATTATACATATTTATGAAATATATATGTTCTCCTTTGCATACTGAGTACGAAAATGGCCTCTCCTTCTCCTGTTAACAGTCCAATGCCTCCTCCTCAAGCTCCTAGTCCCATGGGACCGCCATCGCAAAGTCCGGTTGCACCACCTTCACCTCACAATTCATATTCTCATGGCCCACCAACACCTCATGGACAACATCCAATATCATATGGTCCACCCCATGCAACAAATCCGTATGTTACACCACACGGACCACCCTCAAGCCATTTGGGTCCTCCTCATGGACATCCGCAAAATCAACATGTTCAACCTGTTCCTCTCGTACCACCGCCGCATACTCAACATGGAACTCCTGCAAATACCCAACATGGGCCCCCGTCACAAGGACATGGACAACTTCTATCTACGCAACATGCGGATCAGCACGGTATTTCTCAACAAAATCCACATATAGGTCCAGTGAACCAATCTGGGCAGCACGGACCACCAGTTACACATGGGAATTCATCCCAAGGTCCTCAAGGGCCGCATACAGTGCCACCTCCTGGTGCCCCACATATGAATGGAATATCAAGTCAAAATATACCACCACCTCAATCTCATCATATGCCGCCTCATCATCCAGGAATGGGTAAGGAATTTTTTTTTAAAGTAGATATATATAACATTTTTATATTCATATTTATCTTAGCCTCTCATTCAGGAATGCAAATACCTCCACAAGGTCCGACAATGCCTCCAATTGCTTATCAACACAATATTCCACCAAATGTGGTAAGTAAAAAGTTTTTTCTAACAAAAGGGTTTCATCTAATATGTAATCAAAATTAAAATGTAAAGTTTACTTATGTTGCGAATGGGTTGTCAATAAATCTAATGATTGTTTTTATTCCAAATTATTTATTTAGTTTCTGCAATAATATCAAGATAACAAGTTTATTCAAAAATAAATTCATTCATGCATTCAGCTTCATCAATTAGACCACATATTTCTTTGCATAAGTCTGCACACGATGCACATACAATATTTGGTTTCATTATTGTGAAGGTTTTTCCTTCGGGATCGGTTATTGATGCACCTGCTTCAGTTGCAATTATTGCGCCCGCGGCTATATCCCATGGCTTAAGATCATCCACCATATAGATATCAATTAAACCATTTGCAACATAACATAGCGTCAGTGCTGCGCTTCCAAAACATCGGGTTCTGTGAAATTTAAAATAAATAAATAAATATATTTTTATGGTCACATATAGTCACTAAGGTCGACTTAAAATTATTATCAAAAATTAAAACGGTAAATTTACCCGGTAGCTTTTGTGCATATTTTATATAATCTCTTTAAATTTTTGTCACGCACATTTTCGGCATGAATTAGAGATATTTCAAATCCAACTACTGCATTGGAAATCTATAAGAAATTTAAAGCAAAAAATATAGGTACTTTTGGTAAAGTATTTTAAAATTCTTTTCATGGTTTCTTATTGTTTTCTGACGGAAAAAATTATTCCTTTTAAATATGATTTGTACTTTTGAAATGATGTATGTATATATGTAGATAAAATTTCCCCCTCACCATAATTATGAAAAAAAAATAAACCTACTTTTTTAATATGACTATTGACCAATATAGGTTTTCCATTTAAAAAGGCTCCAATATTTTTTCTAGCTGTAAACAATTCGTTTAACATGGGATTATAAACAATTCCAATTACTATTTCTTTATTTATTGCCAATGCGACAGAAATACACGCATGCGGGATTTTTTTTATAAAATTTGTCGTTCCATCTATTGGATCTATTATCCAAGTTGGCGAATCGGTTAACTCAGGCATGACTTTAGCTTCAGCGCATTGTTCTTCTCCAATAAATTTGTGATTTTGGTAACTTGCTTTAATGCCATTCACAAACATTTCTTCAATTTTTTTATCATACGTTGTTACTAAGTCATAAAACGCGTTCTTACACTTAAAATCCATTTTTGGCTTAGAGAATCCCTCAAGCATAATAATGCCGGCTTTTAAAACTAATTTTTCAGCCAGTTCAAATATTTCTTGTAGCTCGTTTTTGTGTGTCATTTTTATTTTTTATTTTCAGGATGAAACTGTACGAAGTTTGTGAAATAAGTATGTACTTCTAAAAATAATTTTCAGATTGATTAATATACTTTTTCGTTTTTAATATTTATATTAACAGTACAATTTGATTAGTTTATTACGCTAGCAGTTTAAAAAACGAACATAAAATAAATATACATACTCCTAAAATATTGCTTTTTAGTTTTAACAACAATGTCATATTTTGAATATTTTTTTACATGTACATATAACTATAATAATTTTTTATTTTTATAGCTATTTACAAAGATCTTTTTTTGTGTTATGTCGTTGAAGATAAGTAAATATTAAACAAATCACGTGAAACGAGATAGATAACACAAATTGTAGCGTAAATTATTGAAATTTTAATGAAGCAAACCTTACCAAAAAGTTGGCTGAATTACACTATATTAAAAAGTGTAGATAGTATAAATTAAAGCAACTTATGATATAACACAAACAGTGTCATTTTTTAAATAAAAGATAAAAATTGTTGACACTAATATTATAATGTTGTAGAGACAATGTTTTTTACAATATTTGCCATATTTATATTGAAAATACAGTTCTTAAGATTAGAACTGCAAAGCTTTAAAAGCTTTACAGATGATTTGCAAATGAAGCTTTAAAAGCAACAACCAAATTGTGTAATTTATAATTCTTTGCTACCAAAAATCGCTTGTTTATTTCAAACATATTTCATTAGTTCTTGTAAAACGACCTAAAAACACTTCAATATTACATGGTTTGATTATTTAATCATATAAAGAAACCCGGTTGATTTATCTTTTGCATATTTTTGATTTGTTTTTTAATAATTATGAATTCATTTTACGATTACAATTATTCACATCACTTCTTCATTTTTCTGAAAAAAAAAAAATGTATTCCAGGGTATTCCTCCTCCTTCCAGTGTCACTGGTCAGTCACCTCCTGGTCCTGGCCAAGATAATAATTTAAATGCTTTACAAAGAGCAATTGATTCAATGGAGGAAAAGGGTTTGCAAGAAGATCCACGTTATTCACAGTTACTAGCACTACGATCAAAACATCAACATCTGAATTCAAACCAATTACAAATGTTGCGAGCTCAAATAATGGCGTATCGGTTGCTTGCTAGAAATAAGCCTTTGTCTCCGCAAATACAAGCGATTGTTCAACAGACACAACAACATGCGCAACAATCTACTTCCCAAGGACCTAATGGATCCGCAGGCCCATCAAATCAACAATCGATCCAAGTAGGTTCTCCGCCCTCACAAAGTCCAACTTCGAACTTAGCCCAAATTCCTTCAGGACCTAATCAACCGCAAAGTATCCCCGCGTCACAGCAACTGGGATCGAACGGGCCGCAGCAAGCGGTACTTGCAACAAACGTGGGACATCAAGTATCATCTTCATCACAGCAAAATTTAAATGCAGGGCCTCAAGCCGCACCATCTCTATGTTCAACACCCGCAACAAATGTTCCATACCCAGCCAGTATGAGTAAGATACCTCAACATACTATGCAGTCGTCTCAATCAAACCAACCTTCAATGCAACAACAACATCCAACACAACATCAAAATTCTTTAAATAATCCGAGTGTACCACAAGGTGCAGGTCCACCAGTTAATCAAGGAGCATCAGAACATCTTAATATTATGCAAAACGGTTTAAAACAATCGTCTCCTACACTTTTGGGACCGGGAGTACAACCGCCATACAGCGGTGGTCAACCACCAGCTCCAGCCCCATTGCCGGCACAGTTGGCACAAGCTAGCCGTATTCCGTACCCTACTGGAATACAACAACACAATCTTGTTCAGGGCCCTAAACAAGGGGCTCCTCCACCACAACCGCAACCATTACCAAAACCTAATAGGGTTACAACAGTTGGTAAGCCTATAGGAATAGACCCACTCACGTTACTCCAAGAAAGAGAAAACCGAATAGCAACTCGAATTGCATTGCGTGTACAAGAATTGCAAAGCTTACCAACTACTATGTCGGAAGACTTACGTTTGCAAGCAGCTATCGAACTTCGAGCACTGAGAGTTCTTAATTTTCAAAGACAACTAAGAAGTGAAATAGTTCAATGTACCAGACGCGATACTACACTAGAAACAGCAGTTAACGTAAAAGCATATAAGAGAACAAAGCGTCAAGGATTGCGTGAGGCCAGAGCTACCGAAAAATTGGAAAAGCAACAAAAATTGGAGGCAGAACGAAAACGTCGCCAGAAACATCAAGAATTTTTAGCTGCCGTTTTGCAACATGGCAAAGATTTCAAAGAGTACCATAGAAATAATCAAGCACGACTTTCAAGAGTCAACAAGGCTGTCATGAATTACCATGCTAATGCCGAAAGAGAGCAAAAGAAAGAACAAGAGCGTATTGAAAAAGAACGTATGAGACGTCTGATGGCCGAAGATGAAGAAGGTTACCGGAAACTGATTGATCAGAAGAAAGACAAACGCCTAGCATTTTTATTGTCCCAAACTGACGAATACATTAGCAATTTAACTGAAATGGTCAAACAACATAAAATGGATCAAAAAAAAAAAAAGGAAGACGAATGGAAACGGAAAAAAAGCTTTAAAAGAGAGCTTCTTAATTCTGGAGAATTTATTCAATTGGATGATGGAAATCCTGCAGCCGACATGAGAGTGACCGTATTAGATCCCAATACGGGTAAATGTTTAATGAAAAAATTAAAATTCAATTTCTACATCAAATTCTTTTTTTAAGGCAATAAATTAAGTGGTGACGATGCTCCGTTGCTAAAGGACTTGCATAAATGGTTGGAAGCCCATCCAGGATGGGAATGGTGTGATTCTGAATCTGATTGTGATGAGGATGATGAAGAACTTCTAAGAGAGCGGGAACGTCGTAGAGAACAACAAGAACGAACCGAAAAAACTGAGGAAGAATTAGCTAAAGATTTAATCAAAAAGGCTAAAGTTGAAGATGACGAATACCGCACCGAAGAGCAAACCTATTATAGTATTGCTCACACTGTTCATGAAAAAGTTACTGAACAAGCAAATATAATGGTAAATGGTCAATTAAAAGAATATCAGCTTAAAGGCTTAGAATGGCTTGTTTCGTTATATAACAATAATCTTAATGGTATATTAGCTGATGAAATGGGTTTGGGAAAAACAATTCAAACAATAGCCTTGATAACTTATTTAATGGAGCGGAAAAAAGTGAATGGTCCATTTTTAGTGATAGTCCCGTTATCAACACTTCCAAATTGGGTGTTGGAATTTGAAAAATGGGCACCGTCCGTTGTAATAGTCAGTTATAAGGGTAGTCCTGTTGGTCGACGTACTATTCAAAATCAAATGAGAGCAACTAAGTTTAATGTTTTACTTACGACTTACGAATATGTTATTAAAGATAAAGCAGTTCTAGCCAAACTTCAGTGGAAGTATATGATAATAGATGAGGGCCATCGAATGAAAAATCACCATTGCAAACTTACCCAGGTGTTAAATACTCACTATATAGCACCACATCGCTTGCTGCTTACTGGTACCCCGTTGCAAAATAAATTACCCGAACTATGGGCTTTGTTGAATTTTTTACTTCCATCTATTTTCAAAAGCTGCTCAACTTTTGAACAATGGTTTAATGCACCATTTGCTACTACAGGAGAAAAAGTCGAGTTAAATGAAGAGGAAACTATATTAATCATCCGTCGCCTTCATAAAGTATTGCGTCCGTTCTTATTAAGGAGGTTGAAAAAAGAAGTCGAATCTCAATTACCAGATAAAATCGAGTACATTATAAAATGTGACATGAGCGGTTTGCAGAGAGTACTTTACAAGCATATGCAAAGCAAAGGTATTTTTAATATTTTGAAAAATTCTATTTAATACATGTTTGATGTTTAGGTGTTTTACTGACTGACGGATCCGAAAAGGGAAAGCAAGGCAAAGGAGGTGCGAAAGCATTAATGAACACAATTGTCCAGTTGAGAAAATTATGTAATCATCCGTTTATGTTTCAACACATTGAGGAAAAGTATTGCGATCATATTGGTGGTCATGGTATGGTTACAGGACCAGATTTATATCGTGTTGCTGGTAAATTTGAACTTCTTGACAGAATTTTGCCGAAACTGAAAGTTACAGGTCATAGAGTTTTACTTTTTTGCCAAATGACTCAATGTATGACGATAATTGAAGATTACTTGAGTTGGCGTCAATTCGGTTACCTCCGCCTGGATGGAACTACAAAGTCTGATGATCGAGGGGATTTGCTGAAAAAATTTAATGCTAAGGATTCAGAATATTTCATATTTCTACTTTCTACACGTGCTGGTGGTTTGGGTTTAAATCTTCAAAGTGCTGATACGGTCGTCATTTTTGATTCTGATTGGAATCCGCACCAAGATTTGCAAGCTCAAGATCGTGCTCATCGTATTGGTCAAAGAAACGAAGTAAGAGTGCTAAGATTAATGACTGTTAATTCTGTTGAAGAGAGAATTCTTGCGGCAGCACGGTACAAATTAAATATGGATGAAAAAGTTATTCAAGCTGGTATGTTTGATCAGAAGTCTACCGGTAATGAACGTCAACAATTTTTACAAAGTATTTTACATCAAGAAGAAGCGGATGAAGAGGAAGAAAATGAAGTTCCTGACGATGAAGTTGTAAATATGATGATTGCCAGAAATGAAGATGAGTTAAAATTGTTTGGTGAGATGGATGTTGAAAGAAGAAAAGAAGATGAAATAAGGCATCCAGGTAAGAAAAAATAAACTTATTTTACCTTAATATCTCATTTAGTTCTTTTGCTTGTTTAAAGGTCGAACACGGTTAATTGATGAATCGGAACTTCCAGACTGGTTGACCAAAGACGACGATGAAGTAGAACGGTGGCAAACATATGAAGAAGATTACGTGTTGGGTCGGGGATCTAGACAGCGTAAAGAAGTTGATTATACTGACAGTCTTACCGAAAAAGAATGGCTAAAAGCAATTGATGATGGTGCAGAGTTCGAAGAAGACGATGATGACGAGCGGGAATCGAAAAAAAAACGGCGCAAGCGCAAAGGTCGTAATAAAGATGATTCTGATGATGATTCAGTTATAATTTCTATAAAACGCAAAAAGCAACCACTTGATAAAAAAATAAAAAAACAAATGAGGAAAGTTATGTCTGCCGTTATCAAATATGCAACCGATGATGGCAGAATTTTAAGCGAACCATTCATGAAATTGCCATCAAGACAAAAATTGCCGGATTATTATGAAATCATAAAAAGGCCTGTTGATATCAAAAAAATTATGCAGCGGATTGAAGATGGAAAATATTACGAGTTTGCAGATTTGGAAAAAGATTTTTTTCAGTTGTGCCAAAATGCGCAAATATATAATGAGGAGGCTTCATTGATTTATTTAGATTCTATAGAACTACAAAAAATATTTACAAATGCAAGAAATCGAGTCCTAAGTGCAAGTGCTGCTAAAGAAAGTGTAAAAGCTGAGGAAGATAATGGCGATACTGCTAGTAAAGATGGACAAATGATAGTTGAAGCTGGTTCAATTGAAGGTTCTGAAAATGAAGAGGAAAATGAAGAAAATTCGGATGACGACGAATCAAACAGTAAAATGAAATTGAAAGTTAGCAAATCATCTGGTTCAACAATTATTCATACAAATAGTGGAGCCAATTCGGCTGCTGTAAGTACGCCAAGTACTAGTGCTTCTAACTCTAATTCATCGACTGCTAAGAAACAGACTCGTCGAAAGCGGTGGCAGAAAAAATACACTATTTCAGATGATGATGAAGATGATATGGAATAAAAAAATTTTTTCTAATGCATTATTGTATATTATTTTAGTTAATAATTAATAATTAATTAAATTGACTAAACAAGATAGAATTTGCTCATCATTTTTGAAAGGCACACAGCAGTTAAGACACGCAAAACTATACATTCTCGCAAATTTATGAAATATTATATGTGTTTATAAACAGCTTGTAGAAATTTCCAAAGGAGTTTTCAAATATATATTTTAGAGCTGAAAATTGTGTTATTGTATTGCCTGTATTATGAATATTATGTAATTTACCTATATTTTTGATCAGGTTTATGTTAACAAGACTTTTGGCACTTACTAGGTTGGTCTAACATAAGAAACTGTTTAAAAACTTTGAATGTAAACCGTATGTCATAATACTTTTTGAACAAAAATGAGAAAAAATTCTCATTTTCTTAATGTTTTAAGAATTATGTTACCAAGTTTGGTACAGTAAAATTTAGTGTTTTAAAAACTTTTAAAATCTTACAGCTTTCGAAACATGTCTTTCTTGGTTATGGCAGAAGGTTTTGTTTTTGAAGAAAAATTTTTCATCAACAATAACTTTTTTTTAAACTTTTCAATTAAAAATAAAATAACCAAATGGGTTCACTAATGGTTTTTCACTTGTAAATGATTAGAAAAGTTAGGTAAATTTTGTTATTTTTATTTTGATAAAATTTTTTTGTTCCTATTTTATTTTTCATTTCATAAAAAGTTAGGTGAAAACATTCGAATGTATGAAAGTAGTAGTTATAAATTTAAAATTTTATACTTTGTTATACAGGACACATCTATTTAAGATATTCAAGATATATCTACACCATATATATGATGTAGTTAGTCATGTGTCGTTCGGGAACGAACTAATCTTAAATCTGTATGTGTAATTTTTTGATTTACAATTTTTTGACTATGTTTTTATTAAATTTTAAAAAAATGAAAAATGTTACAATTTCTTCAAATTTACTTTTAAATAATTATTAAGTTTTCTTATTTATTTTCTGAAATTGAACTTCAAAAATTCCTTTTTTGTTAAAAAAATATCAATTTTTCTAAAAAAATTTTGCTGTATGTACAATTTTTTGATCTAGTGTATGTGCGGTAATTATTTTTAATAACGGAAAAAGAGAATTGGAATTCTTAATGAACGATTCATTTTTGAAGAAGTGAACTAATCAGCTAAGTTCAGAGAAGTTCTTTAAGATTAGTTCGTTCGTGAACGACACATGACTAATTTGAAGAGCTTGAAGAAGCTACAGAATCCTAAAGCATTTAATAATAATTAAAACTACGAAACTTACTTACATATGTGTAATAAATCTAATTTTTACTTACATCCATTTTATTTTATTTTATTAAAAATTATATTAAATAAAAAAAACATTAATTTAACCTGAAAAATTGAAAACTTGTTCAATATTTATAAATTTAATGAGGTACACTAAAAACATTATTGCACACGATAATTACGTATCATCAAAGATAAAGAAATAGTTCGACTCTCCGTTTACATCACACTAATGCAATCACTCACCAATATTTGTATACAAAAAATTCCCTTAGCTAAAAGAGTTAAGCAATATACCGTCTTATTTTCATTTTTATACACATAAAAATTTTTGTTACCTGTTTTTTTATAATGTATTTTTAAAAGCGGGAGTTATTTATTTTTTCGTACATAAAGTATTGGAAAAAATATTAAGAATTTTAAAGGCGAGAGTTTTATTTTTGTAACTTATTCCAGTACAAGGTGGCAAAAAAGGAGTATTAAAAAGATTAATATAATTTATATAATATAAATTTGAAAAATAATAAAAATAAATTTTAAAAAGACGTATAATATTAAAAAAAAATTTAAATAGTTGTTAAAAAAAATATTTTACAGTTTTTTGTAAACCATCCAAGAATTGAATGGATAATTTAAAGATTTTAGAAAATACTTTTATTAAACTTTTTAATGATATTTGTACAGAAACAAATTTAGAATGTAAATTATATGAACACTTAAAAAATAATTTCAACTATGAATGTTGTGAGAATTAGAATTTACCACATAATAAAAAGTTTTAATAAAACTATAAAACAATTTGATATAAAACAAAAAATAAATTAATTATCTTTAAATTTTTTATTTTATTTCAATCTTAATAAATTTAGAACATATTTCCCATAAATCGGTAATAAAGTAATCAGTATGCATACACCTAAATAAAGTAATCAGTATGCATACACCTTTTTTCTACATATAATATAAATTACTTTATTTCTATGTCACTACCTGATACTAATCAGACTGTGTATCTACTGTACCAGGTACATGCATGTGTACATTCATACATGAAATTTCAAATTCTTTTGCTTTCATACATTTGAATTTTTTACCAAACTTTAATAAAATGAAAAGTAAATTTTGTTATTATCAAAATAAAATTAACAAAATTTTTACCTAACTTAATTCAATTTTATTTCAATGTTTTTGATACACCCGTTTGTTTACAATATTTTGTTTCTTTCTTGCCCACACAACTTTTTAAGAATTTGGAAGCAAGATGCAAATGAAAACTAATGGAATGGAACGAGTCGAATTACTTATTAGCAGATATACTTTGATAGGAAAACTTTTCTTGATGTCTCTTATTTCAATATGAATTTTTGCAAAGTGGTATGACAGTAGTTATTAAAACACATATGGTGTATATCGTATACTGTACCTTTTAAGTTTGTGAATGGCTTGATTTGAATTTGAATGTAATCATGCATTGCATTGTAATATTAATGTCTTTACATCTAACAAGTCCCAATACTCAATTTTTTCCACGAAATATTATGAATTTTTGGCTTCGTTCCTGTTTTGTTTTCTAAAATGCCACTGATCGTGTCATATTTCTTATTATTTTTTTCTTTTTTTTTACGTAAAAAAGAGTTTAATATTTTAAAAAATCTCAGGATATTATACACATTTTTTAAAAAGCTTCCTATTTAAAGTTAGGAGGAAAGAAAAAATTTCAAATTCATATTTCAGTATGGTTTCAAATGTTAATGAGGAAGGATGTATGATTTTTCATGCACATTTTGTATTTCCCAATAAGGTAAGTTGAGTAGTGTCGGCTAACAAAAATGTTAGTAAAAGTAATATAGGTTGACACATTTCAACAATTTGAATTATCTCATTTCGGTTATTTATACGTTACTTATGAAATTGTTTTAAATAATTTTAGTTAGTTTTTAAGTTATTAAAAATAAATATGTATGTACCTACTTCCAATCAATTTTTTTTAAATAATTATTTTAAAACTATTTCAAACATGTTATATTGAGTGCTTCAAAAATTTTGTTGTGCACTTCTTTCATATTTTACTAGCAGATAAACAAGAGCAATCTATTTATAAAATAGCCCTGCCTGTGTTTGAATCTTAATAGTAAACGGAAAAAAAATTTACGGATATCAGTACCTACTACTTGTCATTTTACAATCGGAGTTTTTGAGTCATTTGCTAAGATACTATTTATTTCAAAAATAAAAAAGATATTCGAATCCGGTCATAAAAACATATTATTGTCTTTTGCAAAACCTTTTAAATATTTTTTTACTTAGGTAATATATTAAGTTTTAAAATTTTTTCTCAAAAATAGAGGTAAAATTTAGAAGTGGATATAAAATTTGTATTCAAAAAATAATATTTGATTGTATTTTAGATATTATTTTTTAATTCCTTCTTCAAATTTTTTCTTTACTATGTATTCATATCAATATTTAATAATTTTTTTTTATTAATTATATTTTCAATTTGACACCACAATTACTTTCCGTATCTTGGGTTAACTTACCCTATGAGAAAAAAAAGCTGTTCACTTAAAAATAATGAAATGCTTTCAGTAACATATAAAACGTTGAAGGCGAAGATTGTGCTTGTTGTTTTTCTGCTGTTTTATATGTATTTCATGAATTTTAAAATAATTATGAATGAAAATATTAATATATTTTCTTGATTTTTCAAATATATTTTCGAAATTTTACCTGCTGTATAATAACTGTGCATTTATTTTAATATTTCTTCTCAAAAAATAGCCATATAAATTAAAAAATTTATATGGCTTCGATTTAAAAAAACCCATATAAAACAAGGTCGTGCTTTCAAGTTTCTCTCTTAGCATTGGGACTTGTTAGATATAAAGACATTAACGATTTCTATGCAAAAAGTTCCAGGTTCGAACCCTGAAAAATGCGATTTGCTAGATGAACTTTTTTTTATTGATAATTTTATTTTTTTTTTAAATGAAATTAAAAAAGCTTCTCCCTTACAAATCAATATCATCGAGTTTCCGTTCTAAATATTTTTTTGAAAATACCCTATTTGTAAAAAGTTTAATGCAATAGAATAACATTTTGTTATAAAATTTCGCATTAAAAATATATTGTCAAGAAGCTTAATGTACGCTTATGTTGTGCTTACTAATACATTTTGCAACAGATCGCGAAAAGGATACATAACTAAATGAGTACGTACATACTTATTATAAAACAATGTAGATTTTATTAAAACTTTACAATTTCTTAAGAAAGTGATTACTTTTTGTTATAACTCACATTTCCAAATATGAATTTACATACAATATTTTATACCTCCAAAAGTAAATAAAAAATTACTCCCACAGGATGTAATACCATTTGTAAAAAACGGGTACAAAGCATCTTGGGAGGGGCTGAAGGGGGAGGGCGGGTGGAATTCTTGTTTTTCCTGGGACTCTAGAGGCAAAACCCTATCTAATGCCTTTTGTCCCATGTCTCTAGCCCTTCTAGAAGTACCAGTACTTTTTGGCACCTGAGAAGTAGCTATATAATATATATAAATATAATGTAAAATAGGATGGTTTTCGAAGAGTTCTTCGAAATATGAACAAAATGAAGAATTATAAAGAGAACTTCAAGGTACTGCGTAGCCTGATGGGTAACGTCGTAGTCTTAAAACCAGAAGGGTGTTGGATCAATGCTTGTCTGGATACTGTCGTATTTTTCAT